TCTGAACGATTTTTCAATGGTTAGTACCTTGAACTAAAATCACCTTTTGTATACACTTTGGTAGCCACATTCATAGTTTCTCTTACCAAGAAACGAATTTTATGACATTACGTAAATGTATCACAGCGTAGTAGAAACTCAGTATAGTATGTGCCTACAGCTGGGCTAAAATTTCATCACCGCGATGAGTGCACATGAGTACATTACACTTCTAGCTGAACAAAGGGAGTTGATTGTCGGCATGTCTTCATTCTGAAGTGATCACAAGAGTTAAAATTTCCTTCTTGATAGCGGCCCTTAGAACGCCCCATCGAAACTTCAATCTTTCGATGGCTCTGCGGAAGGGGAGGGGCACCCTCTACCTTGATCTGGATTGCATTGTTTAACTTCATAATGTGTGCTCTTAAACTCTCAAGCTTGAGTCCATTCTTGAATTCATAATATCTAAAGTGCAGGAATAACTGTTACAACCTTTTCATTTTCTTTAAAGGAAGGATCATGCTGTGCACATTTTGACTGAATGTGCTCAGCACAGGACTGTGTGCCGCATCCCAGGTTGTGAGAAAGCTGTACACAGTGTACTAGGGCACAATGCAGAAGATGGAGAGAGCCACGCCAATCTCTTATTACAGGTCATACTTTCACTGCTGGAATGATTATCTCCACACTATAATGTCATGTGATACATGTACTTAGAGATGTACAACCAAAAAAGAGCCAAAAGGTTTGAATTTTCATTAAATTTCAGTCAGTTTATCATTTCCTACAGCTCCAATATGTTCCGTTGTTCAAAGTATTCAACGTCTTTTCTTAAAGTAGAGAACCCTATTGATGGTACGTATGAAACTGCCACTAAATATTTTGCCTTTTTTCTTATTATGCAAATCAGGTCTTCAATTGAATAATTAGTATCTGTCAATGTTCCTCTCTTTCTTAGTTATACATATGATAATGGCATCTTGAGAAAAAAAAGTATTTTACACTCTGTAACTAAGACTAAATTGGTGGAGATACATGTATGTTGTCTTGGAAACGTAAGTTCATGTATATGACATTGATACAGAATGTGAGTTTTATTTAACTTTTCAGCAAAAAATATCACTAGTATCATACAAAATTTTTCCAATGCCTGCACAAAGCCCTGTGTAGTGGTGAGCCACCCCAGAAACCAAAGTATGATCGCATTGTGTTCCTGCAAACTGCCTTGTTCATGGGGTGGGATGCATTCAATTATATATTATTACATTGATATAATATTGTTGATACATGTATGTACTTGTTATGGGGGGAGAGGACATCGTTTTAGTTAAACAACTTGAAAGTTTTCCCCTAAATTTCCCCTACACCTACCATTACCAATATTAACTATTCAATTTGGAAATTGTACGCTAACTTGGTACATTTCACCCTGTTACTGGACATACTTCGACAGAAGATGGCAGTTTGTTTGAAAGACTTTCCTGTTGTCATTACCTATAAATCTGGTTTGAAGTAACAACTACAAATTGTTTTTTCTTTTCAGATTGCTGACCACCCTCAGCCTATAAGCGACAGTCCATGGCGCTGTACTGTAAAGCTGGACGACGTCATCAGCTTAAGACCGACCTACTATGACAAGTGGGATTGTGGCTACTGGCTGACCAGTGGGATTGTGGCTACTGGCTGACAAGTGGGATTGTGGAGTTTTATGGAAGGTCAGTTTATTTGTTGTTCAGAGCAGCCATAATTGTTAACTACTTACGTTTAAGAGTAACACTGTAATACACTTTAAATGACTTTCTGGCATAGATTAGGACAAAGGAATAAAGGATTGCAGAATATTGATTACATTTGTACCGTTATCATGAAGATACTCAAGTGGGTCATAAGATGTAGCATTTCAACTGCTTGAAAGTAAAAAGAAATGTTCATATACATTAAATATCCGTTTTTGTTTCACACATATATCATGTGCACCATGCGTGTCCGAGAGGCATCAGACTAACATTCAGATAATTTCCTCGACGTTCCTCGAGCAAGTCATCCGGGACAACGAAGAAGACAGAAAGGAAGACCTATACAAGGACTACAGGCCATCCTTGTGCCAATTTGCTGGTATGAAATGATGATACTATGAAATAGGAATTCAAATGACCCGGATTCAGCAGTTGTGCGGTGTCGAGGTGAAACGATGGAGAAAATCGGTCAGTAAGTTTACCTATGAAGTGAATCATTTTAATTTTGTTATGTAAATCGCATGGCTCAAATGTTTATTTGAGGTAACCACACTGTAGGAATATTTTTGCAATTGCACTCTGCACAAAATAATTCATACCAATACATAGTGCAATTGTGATCAATGCCACTATTACAAGCATTAACTGCTCTCCACTGTACTGGTTCGAGTTTTCCGACTGTGCACAGACTGGTGCACGGTACTCCAACCCTTTGTATGGTGATGAGATCTTCAATGGAAAGATTGAAATAATAGATAGTTTCTTGTTTAGAGATGTAAGGTTTACTGTATATTTTCTTTAATAAAAAAAATATACAGTAAACCTTACATCTCTAATATGGCCTATGTTGTTATTATGACTTTAGATGCTGCTGCCTGTGATGTTATACCTAGCATAGAATTTCGCAGGCTGAAAGAGGAACTGCCACTAGCAGTACAGCCCGCTAAACAAGTCAACAACAAGCGGTACAGGGAGGCTAAGAAGAGGAGAAGCGGAATGTCAGCGTCCGGAAACAACGTTGCTGACCACCAGAGGAGGAAGTTGCTCTACAGGAGAGCAGTGATAGCCTTGATGATGATGACCAACCACCTGCAAAGCAGCAAAAGTTGTCGGCTATGCAGGTCATATTCCAGGAAGAGGATGATGTTGTGGTGACCCACGTCCAGCCTTTAAGGCTGCGAATCGCACAGGAGGTGCTGAGGTATAGAGCCCTTCCGAAGCTCAAGTCTACAGAGGAAGTGGTTGCGTTCTGGCAGGGAAAAGCTGATTACCTCCCACTTCTCAGCAGATGTGCCCAGAAGTACCTTATTGTACCAGGTACAAGCGTTTCCAGGGACAGAGTGTTTAGCACTTGGGGTGACATTGTCTGAGCGGAAAGGGCACGGTTGGATCCGGACTGTGTCAATGTGCTCCTCTTCTCAAACAAGAACACTTAAGTTAGTTAACTTGGATAAGTAAACACATACACTGACATAGTTCTGAGCAGATGGTTTTGTAATCAAGTTACATAGATAGACTTAGATAGTTCATGGACAATCATGGTTTTGTAAGGCATGCCAGGACATATAATTTTTCCCTGTGTAAATCTGGCCTATTGGGCAGAATGTTACCCGATACATGTATATGGTGTTTGAAAAACTAAAACTAATTTAGTCAAAAAATATAGTTAGAGCATAACTTTGTACTCAAATTGCATGCTTAATACGCTGTTGTTTGTATTAGCAACTGACAGACATCTTGGAGAACAAGATCAGACAGAGTGGCTTGTGCGTTCCGGACTACCAACGCACCGACATGCTAGCAGCTATGGATGTCATCCCCTCAGACTGGAGGGCAAGGCACAATGCTAGGCTTATGGTGACAGCCGTAAGACCTTTACCTGCCATTTACCCCTTATTTCGTCTTTTCTGAATGTTGTTCATGATAATTAACTTCACTTCTACTTTCAAAAAACTGTTTGGTAACAAAAACTATCTCAATATTCTGAAGTCCTTGGTAAAGATAAGTTTCCAAAGGACGCCATTGAGGAATTTCTAACCAGTGACCTCTGTTGATCAACAGTAGATATAAATTGTAATATTGTATTCAAATCATAATTGAATTCCTATTTCATCGAATGTATATTGATATGCACATTTTGTTGTAAACTTATATACTAACAACGTGCGAAGCGTTCAAGGTTATTAATAAGCAGAACCGAATGCAGACCTCATCGTGCAGACGATTGAATTTCAGTCACCATTAAAAGTCAGTGATCCAGTGTCAAGATATGTGTAAAACCCTGAGGACTTGGACGAAAGAATCAAAACAGGGTGACTACTGCTATTTAGATATCTGTAAGAGATAGAGGACTTTTTGGAGGAGATTGCCAACATGATTGAGCGCTGCCTAACGTTAGCGTCACATGAGTTGGATGTACAGCTTCAAATTGAAGAGCTTTTGTTGCTACAAAATTTCGTAATGACACTTAACACTAACAGCGAGGAAGCCACGTCTGGGTCGACGGGAGAAACCTCCCATTTCATCGAAGACGACAACCAAAAGCGAAACGGGCCAATAGTGTCCACTTTCATTGCATTTAAACTTTCTGTGATGAATTTGCGGGCTATCCAACTACCCTGCGGTATCACAGCAATGTGTTAGCGATATTCTGTCACTCTTTTAGAGAGTGCTCGACGATCACGGACTCAAAAACACAGTACTCCGTACATACAATGAGGAAGTCTCATAAGTGAAAGAACTTTTGCAGCGGTTTGAGACGTACTGTGTGTGTCCGTGTGACATCTACCCCGGGGACCTTCTGGGTGAAACCGTGTGCCTTAAGTGAAAGAGAATCGTGCTTTGACCACAGAGGAAAGGCAAAGAAGGAATATTTCTACTTCCTCCGTGAGGACTTTGTATGTGTGCCGCTAATCGAGCGCACGTTACAGGAACACGGGCTCACCCTTTCCAATGACGTTACACAGTTCATTTCTGACATTAGAGAAACATTTATGCGGAAAGAGATGTACAATGATGGTGGTGTCATAATCTTTAACGTTTTTTTTTTTCACCTTCTACCTGTCAGTGTACATGTATAAGACAGAAGGCCCGAAGTATCCATAAATGTTAACCAAAAACCCATAGGTGTATTTGCTCTTTTCTCTGTGAAGGACCAGACATGAAGGTAATTTGCTGTAACTTCAATTTTGTATCTCTGTTTAGATATGTAACTTTGTTGTTTTTATACTGGTGATGGTGATTAGTAGAGCAACAATGAAGCAAATCATATGCGAGCAACGCTACTTCAGGCATCAATTTTTTTTTCTTTTCATGTCTGAGTTAATCACAAACGGCTTTTATATCCACGGACCGTATCTTAGGTGCACCAGCCCCCACTGAGCCCGAGGCACAGTCCCCGAAGTCTGGGTTTCCAAGAGGCTGGACAGCTCTAACAATATACCTATCAGACAGCTCTGTTTACAATGTTTACATACAACGTAATTTATGTAGATAAAGATTGCGGGAGGGGATAAATGTCTCAAGTTTGCAAGCTGTGCTTGCTTTGTTGCAGAAACTGATGTTTCTAACGATCATAGTAAGGTCTCATGTGTCCGACTGTTGGTGTTCTAGATGGGATGGTGTCCGATGGTCCGCCATGCTAACCCACGTTGTTTGATGTTCATCTCAGGAGTTGCTGTAGAGGAAACACAAGGATTTGTACTGTAAGTCAGATAATTATAAAATCGGTCTTTTTTTTAATCGGTACCGACCAGGATTTAAAAAAAAAAATTAGATTCTCAAAAGCACATTAGCGGACATTTATAGTCAGCTAAGGAAGTTCCCGTGGAGACAGTTGGAACCATGTCACTTTTACAATAACCTGCTACAGAATATCATAGACATCTTATTCTTGGCTGAAATATATCACAACATAAATAACAAATTTAAGAAAATATGAATGTGTTAGGCTATCCGAGAATATTGTCCAGCACACAGTTCTCGCTCGCGGACACAGTAAACAAGATAATCTATCACAGATGTCAGCCGCGGTCGGTCTTACAAATACTGAACCTTTGCAAATTCTATCAAGAACTGTTAGAAATGGCGCGTAATGTCGTGGCAGCAGAGTACAGAATGTTTCCTACAATTATGAACTACACACCAGGGAAACAGGTTTGGACAAACTGACATAGTGGCGAGGCAAATTCCACCAACGGCCGGCCTTACACAACACGGCGTGGCTCAACTACACGGCAGAATAAATCGTCTTTCCTCTACAGACTTGTCCACATCTACATACGAGTAACTTTCACATCTTTAAGATTCACTCTTGGTAAATTGGAAAACAAATTGAAGAGACAATTAACACAAACCAACCAGCCATTGCAGCACCCACCTCACACCACCGCCATTCCTCTCCAACTGAAGCTGGGTCGGTGTGCGACGGGATATTCTGTATTCATCCGCTCCGGTACGGTAATTGCTGTATACCAATGGGGCTATTATACAAATGTTGTAAGAATGAAGGTGGTTATAATATCTTGTACCTGGGCAGATAAAGTCGGCAAATTAGACCAAAAGTGCAAATACGAACACTTGTCACCAGATGCTGCGAACTTGTCACGTACTATTTTCTGGCGGCACATGTGTACATCCTGTCTGAGGAGTATGTGCGGTGGCGCGCGTGGTCTAGCGAGGCTCACTTGGGGTTTGTGTGAACATGTTTTTCAGAAAAGGGGTGAGCAACATGCGCAGATTTAGAGGAAGCGGCAAGATAAGAATGAACTATGATACTATCTTCACTGCACTGTGATTGGTCATCCGAAATGGCGTCATCAACCAACCCCTCATAATTACTTTATGTTACCACATTTTTACATACACATCTGTTACTTAAGTAATACAGTTGCCTTCATTTGGTTTATCCTAAGTTCGTTTTGACACAACCACAATGTTCCCACCATTCATATACTTTCCTCTTGTAACAATGATTTATTGTCTTAATATTATTTATATTATTTGTTCAGTTTTTCCTTGTTTAAGTTTCTCATTATTTTGTACATAATTTGCTTTTAATCTTGTAATTCTGCACACGGCATTGCGACCGTATGTGCCGCCGATGTGAAGGCGAAATAAAGTTCAAAGTTCACTCCATTCTGCCCTTTCATTCGGAGCCAGCATCGCCAGTTTTGCCAGAGAGGCAGTCTCATCGGCTAGCAGTAGCCTGGCCACGTGTACGCTGACTGAGTTCGGAGCCCGACCAAGTCGCCTCCAAAAGGTTTGGGCGTGGCAGTGGTAAAGCCTTCCCGTTTAGGCCGGGTTTCACAGTATTTTGGGCGTCTTTGCGCCTTGATTTCTCCGTTTGATGTTACTGTACAGAGGCGGTAAAACGCATCTGAGACTCTGCATTTACATGTTCATGCTTGTTTCTCATTTGCGGGTTGTGTGGGGTGGTATGGCTTGTTAATGTTCTCAACTGGGAGGAAAGATCGAGTTAAGTTTCCCAAAGCGTTCCACGACTTAGTCTAACTGCTTCGCGTGGTGGAACCTTGCTTGGGTTGGGGGAGTTAGTTGAGAGTTCAAGTTCTAACGTGTTATATTTATGTCCTTGTCAGACAACATGTCTCAGAAACCAAGCGCTTCTGGAACCTCCGTGCGGAGGAGGGGTTGACAACAACGCCAACCCGAGCAGCCAGCCACCAGACCCGCAGAACCACGTCGCACCACAGGGACAACAGGATGCGCCGCAGGGACAACAGGCTGCGCCGCAGGGACAACAGGCTGCACCGCAGGGACAACAGGATGCGCCGCAGGGACAAGATGCACCACAGGGACGACAGGATGCACCGCAGGGACAACAGGATGCACCGCAGAGACAACAGGATGCGCCGCAGGGACAACAGGATGCACCGCAGGGACAACAGGATGCACCGCAGGGACAACAGGCTGCACCGCAGGGACGACAGGCCGCGCCAATAAGCAGCAGCAAATTCGCCGTAACGTGTTATTGGTCCCTTATATACTACATTAGGCATATCCGTGAATCACGTAATCCGTGAATTACTAGTACACCGTAGGCTGATTTGAAAATCGTCCTGTTTGACGTAATTCGTAAATGGCGTCAATAATTTTGCGTCATTCATAATCACTACACCCCCCCCATGCCGAAGCAACATGCTGACAATTAGTTTTAAAAAGTTAATATGATATAACAACTAATAACAGCACCTTTCTCTTTCAGTGACATTACATGTCCATGAGATCACAGAGGAAGACATCACCCTGCCTTCGCACAGCTTGATTCGGTAAAACTGAGTAAATACATCTTAAGACATTAACCGTTTATCGTTTACTTCCTCCCCTCTCTTTGCTGTGAATAAATCAACCGAGTTATTTCACGCATACATAAGTATATGTAGAGACGGTAAATGATAATAAGTACAACAGTTGCATCTGTTAAGTGTTTGAATTTTTTCCAGGTGCCATGCAGGTGACATCACCATCGACCTGAGTGTCTTCTTGTTGCGAATAGAGAGAGTATACAGTAGAATAGAGTATATCATTATAAATGTATATATATATTCTAATGCAAAGTGCTAGGAATCTATACATTACAACAATACTATCTATATACTACCTATCATCTACTGTTAGTTGCCCTTTGTTGTCTCTTTTTGAAACATTTGGAAACATAATTTATTACATACTTTACATTCGTTCTTGCATGACATCGTATTTAAACATGTCCTGCTTTGACATTTTCTTACATATCTTGTCTAATTGTCATTTAAAAGTATCGAATAGCTCTTGTCGCATCTTTATATAATGTACAATCAAGTAGAAAGTGTATCTCGTTTTCAACATAATTGATTACAGACTTCGCACGTTCTATCTTTCAGAGGGGCACGGCTATGCCTGCCGGATTCTATACGTAAGGGATTATCACTAGTGCGAAGTTTACACATGGCTCTGCAATGTTTAAATATGTTTCTCTTTCAAAAATATCTGAGTGATAATAATAATAAGAAGAATAAATAAGAATAAATTTAAGAATTTTGGAAATAATGGAAAGAAATTGATGAAAATAATTAACTGTCCCCCGACAGCTCCTGTAATAAGTTTTTTTCATGAAATGGAGGATCTCTGAAACTGTGTATGTACTAATAATGTAGTAGTATTTCGGCATCTGAATCTTTGTGGCAGATATAGATTCTTTTCGAGTTAGTTGGGTTAGGCGCAATAAGTCCTTCGACGTAATGTATCCAACTGCCGCCGATTCTGGCTATACAGATAAAGAAATTGGGGTTGTCCAGATGATGCTATCTATTGAGTTAATCTTAGAAAGAATCAGTAACAGTATAATGGTGGTATAACAATTGTAAGTAATTGTATATATACATTGTAACAATTGATGTATATTACTACAAACATATTTAGCATCAGGTATGTAAATAAATAGGCAGACTGGTCTATCACAGTGTGAAAAAGGGTCGTCGTATTGGAAATTTAACAAATAAGCAACAAAGTGAACGAGATTAATGAAAACCTGGAGAACGTATGTCCGTTACATGTATATGGATGGTCTCATATTTTGCTTCCCATGTTAGATATATGTAACCTTATGTAACCCCCAGGAGCACCACCACATGCCCCGCGGCCAGTTACAGCATCCTTGATTGTAATACCTTTAGGATTGCAGTTTGTTTTTAAGTATTCAACCACCGTCCGTCCTGGACTGTTGGGTAATGTTAACGTGATGCCATATCGTAACGAAACGTTACGAAACGTTTTTTTTTTAAGTATTCAAACACCAACTAGATGCATGGTTTAAATATCAGTATAAGGCTCCCAGAAGAGCTGCAGATGTTAAACAGCTTTAATTCATGAATAGCAACATTCTTATTGATTGAGCATCTGTCTCCATTAGCACTTTCATAAACAGAAATATTGTTTTTTATGAATGATATTTTAAATGAGGTAGGCACTATGATGACATTTAAAGAATCTTCACTACAAAATGGCACTATTTGTGATACTTTTGATCTAATCATCATCATTCACTGTGTTCCTCCACTAACTTAACAGTTAATGTAAAATAATACAGAAATTAAGTTAAAAGTCATCCACCTGAGTTTTAGACGATGACACATTGGCAGTTAAGTCTAACCTCTCAAGTGTCGACTGATCCAGAACTTGGTATATAGAAGAATCTATTGATCATATAAGATTCCCGCCATTTGTGTCAAGGGGAATTCGTGAAAGTGAACTTTAACCCGTGTGATCTAGGTCATTGGCACGTCGCAACCTTGCGTCTCTTAAAAATTACATATAAACGGGTTCTTTGAACTTTGAAACTTTAAATGTATTCATTTGTTTGTTCAGGTCTAGTTGGAGACCGTAATTGTTTCGGTTTATGCTATGAAATAATAGAATCATTAAAAAAAACACTTTTGTAGGGTGATCGCGACTATCATTTACCTATGAATCCAGAATCCACATTCGGTACACTGAATAGCACTTGCCCCAACTTGAAGTCCACAAATACCGCAAGGGAAGTTCTTCGATCTTTTTGCGTTGATCGTCTCCAACTTTGGCAAAAAGGATCAACTATGTGCAGAGAGAATCGGTTCTGGAGAGAATCAACAGAGACAGGCTCACAAAGATGACCGCAGATGACAAGGCTCCTCAAGGAGTGACTTCGTGGCACTAGTAGTCATGCGATATCATTGGTCAAACTATACGCGTTCCCGTCATCTAGATGACGGGTGACAGGAAAGAGTCTACAATTTCCCATTCCCATCTCAACACTTCCAAACGGCAGACACATCCATTCATATCTTTGACTCAACCATGGCGCTCCTCCTGAACAAAATCCACATCACCGAGAGGAGATGGGAGATTCTAACAGTAAGTACATTGCTCTTATAGTGTGTGCACGGGGGAGGGTGCTGTTGTACAGTATTAAAGCAAAATTTAACTACCAAAAGTTCGTTCGTTTTTGTAAAAACGTGTTGTTCTTATGTGTAGGGCGAGAGCAATGCCCGCGATACCGTGAAGGCACTGACCATCAAGTTCGGCAGGCTGAAAGAGGAGGCGTGGAACGTCGCCTACTTTATCAACATGTAGTAAGTATCATGATTATATATTCTAATTATTTGTAAGGAGTATCAGAAGTTTTTTGTAAGGAATATATTATTTGTCTTTATTGATGTTAATCCATACCACATGTGTTGCTGTTATGTAGTAGCGTTTAGAGTAAATGTCAAGTTCAACGCATAAATTTCTGTATTTGCAACTATGGTCAAAATATTGTCATATGTAAAACCAGCGGAATTGAGCCACCACTTGTATGACTACATGTATGTCTATAGTAATGCCTTGCACCTTTCTCGTGTATACTGGTATTAAGACTGAAGGCCTGGTAACTTTCCAGAAACATTAATTAAAGCAACATAGTGACGTGGCAATATGTCATCACATACACCTTTAATGAAAACTTCCCTTAAAATACAAATACTTATTTTATCTTTGTGCATCTGTTTACAGCTATGGAGCTCCTAGTCCTAGAATGGATAAACAACAGTGAGGTGGAGCCAAGGGAAAAGCTGCATGTGGTAGAAAGCCTGGTTGGCAAGAAGAGAATGAAGGGCCAAATACACTGCCAGGTTAAGCGGCAGAGCTACCCACCAGAG